CCCCAAGAAAAAAAAAAAAGCTTTTATATCATTTTCTCCCCTGCTCATTTCAGGCAAAAGGCATGCAGAGCAGTTTTTATCTGACCATGTTGACAAAACACAGCACAGCCCAGTAAGCGTTTGGGACCCACTAGCTTTTCTGACACACCAGAGCTGGTTTGCCCCAGCTAAGGACACAAGACTCTCCTTCATGAAGACCGGTTAAAAATAATGATGGCTATCTCTTGTTTTCCTAAATGTGAATTAAAACTCAAGTGTCCATCTCTGGTGTCTGAAGACAAACATGACATTCCCAAGTATGCTGGCCCAGATACATGCTTCTCTCCACCTTTGAAGTGCTACGCTAGTGTGAGAGATCCCCAATCCTGCAATCCTCCTTCTTGAGGTAATTAGCCAACCATTATTAGAGGAACTATAACCCCCTGCGTGCAATTTCAAAGTTGTCTATGCAACTGTATCTGTGTACATGGCTCCTCCTGAGGCTCTTTTCCAGTCCACAAGCCCTTTCAAGTAGAGTAACGCCTATCCCCTTCTGCTCTTGTGATGGGACCGATAACCCAACAACTCCCTAACTGCATCTTCCAGCTCCCGATCCCAGCCTGCCTAACAAAACCACTTGGCACCTACAAATATTTTCCTTCAGGACCCTGCAGAGAAAACCTTCCATTGTGCCACAGAATGAAATCAAAGTAGGATTTATTTAGTTGTGAGGAATTCCAAGAATTAGTTTTAAAGAAACAGAGAGACCTAAACCTACCCTCTTACCTACAACTTGGAATTTCCTCCGAGCAGCAGGGAGATGTAATAATTTAGACTCGGTACCTCCCTGTCCCCCAGGGAAGAAGAGCGCAGCTTACTGGCAGAGAACCTGCTTTCCCTGCACGTCAGCCCCACAGCAGCTGATGACTGATGCCCTCCTCCCTTTGCATAAGGTCAATTTTCTAATAGATCAATGTCTCTCCATCTCCTCCTCCGTGTTGGCAAGACACCCTGTCATCCAGGCTGTGGTTGAGAAGTTTCTCTCCACACCTGGCAGCTACACTGAAGAAAAAACACGTTGTTTAAGTCAATGCTCCTGCCTGCTTCTTCCACTGAATTCCTTGCGTTCAAAGTCGTGTAAGTCTCAGACAGACTGACGGCCATTTGAGATGCGTACAAAATGCAAACTGGAAAATAAGCGTAACTATCTGAGCAGCATGCAGGCGTCCTGTGGCTGGGCATTCTGGGTCTAAATACCGAGAATTATGGGGTTCCTACACCCACACTCAAACGGGTCAGTAACAGGGCTACAATTACAACGCAGCCATCCGAACCTCTGCTCTAACTGCCGCACTGCGCAGCGCCATATCATCCCTAATTTTCCATATATTACTTTTGAAATTCACCACAAACTTACTTAGAACATCTGAAGTTAAATGATTCAAAAAGATGAAATCCTTGACCGAAACAGCAAGGGGGATTTCTCTTTTCCAACTAAATGTTCATATGGTTTCTTAGCTGGGAAAATATCCTTTTGAAGTCAGTAGCTATATGGAGACCAAGTGATTCAGTTGATTATAGCCTCTCACCATTTTAGCCCAGCTATAAATCCCAACTCAATTAAAATAATTCTGATTAGGACCACAATTCCACATCAAGTTTTAGAAAGCTTCCAAAATCTCCCCTCCCTCGAAACACATACAGGAAATAAAAGCACAAATCTCTGCCACTTTTATTTCAGAATCTGTCAGAAAAGTTATCAATAGTATCTGGTGGAAGAGGTAAGACTAGATGACCTCCTGGGGTCTTCTCTGACCCAAATTAATCTATGACATGTAGTGTGAGATCATACCTTAATCCATCAGCAAGTAAAAACCACTCACACGTTTTACTTTACAAGAGAACAGTTCTCTTGAAAACAAAAACTGAAAGTCTTTAGACAGCATCTTCTCTTAGTGACAATTGTTCGGTGTAAGTTTAAGCACGCTGAAAAATACAGTAATGGGGAGTTACATGCAGAACAACCCACGACATGAGAGATACGTACCCAGAGCCAACACTAGTTTCTAACCAAGGCACAAAGTACCACAAATGACATCCAAGACACTATCTGCTGCTAACCTAACATATGTTAGAACCAGCCTAATCAGCTGAAGTTTGGCAATGACATTAAAACATTTTTTTAAGAGGACGGCTCTACCATTTTCCCTCAGTGGCAACCACAGCAACATCTTAGAAAACTGTTTAACCACAAGACTATCGCTGCCTGCACTAAGATATTGCATGAAGGAAGGACTTGCACATTACTACACATCCCTTTTCCACACTCCCTTGAATGTGGGGGACAAACACTTCTCCTGCCAAACATTTTACTTTGCTCTTTAATACCTGGATGTGTGTGCAGTACAGCAGAAGTACGCAGAAAGAGGCCTACAAGAAAGCTGGGGAGGGACTTCTTACAAGGGCAGTTAGTGACAGAACAAGGGGAAATGGCTTTAAACTGGGAGAGGGGAGATTGAGATGGGATATTAGGAAGAAATTATTTCCCATGAGGGTGCTGAGACACTAGCAAGCTGTGGCTGCTCCTCCCTGGAAGTGTTGAAGGCCAGGTTGGATGAGGCTTTGAGCAACCTGGTCTAGTGGAAGGTGTCCCTGCTGCTGGCAGGGGGGTTTGGAACTGGGGGAGCTTTGAGGTCGCTTCCAACCCAAACCAGTCTGTGATTCTATGACAAGGCACAGGTAACAATGTGCTGCTTTAAATGTATCCATGTAAGCAGTAAGGTGAGAAGGCGACAAGTCAGTTGAGCTAATTGCTTCAATTTGTACAGCAAGCTATGCCACGTGTTATACGTGCTTCTTATTCATACTTAGGCGTTTTCCATTGAGTTAGCTGTCCAAAAGGTGGCTCAACAGGCTAGGTTATAACAAATAGTTTGGTGTGCAACCCTAATAATGCCCCATATTGGCATCAGAAGAGGATATTGACAAATGACTTTGCCCAGGAAAGCTGTTCCGGCCCCCGTTTAGTAGAAAGCAATCATTTGACACTGCCTAATGACATTAATCAAGCTTTGAACCTTTGTTGCTGTATGTCATAGCAAACACTTAGCATTTGCAGGTCCAAAGTGCTTGACTGCACATTGTATATTAAAAACAAAAGACTTTAATTCATTAAAAATAGACTCTCACGCTAGATTAAGTTCATTTGCTGCACCCGTCCCTGGTCTGCCTTTGTGTGTGGTCTCATTTAAAATAGACACACATGAACCAGAACCTACTTCATTCACGGGAAACAAAAATACCATTGGCTGTCAACCAAAATAACAGACACTGAAAAATGGGAATACCCTTGGGTAAGGAAATTTTAATTAAAAAAAAAAAAAAGACAATAACAAAGAAGAGGAAGAAGCTGTCTTCTCTGGGAATTCCTGTTTCGTCACCTTTGTGAAAACATCTCACATTGTCTCCTATGTATTTTATAAATGTCTCTTGCAGATCTGTTAAAGCAGCAGCTTCATTTATGCTCACTCTGATCTATATTGATAAAGATTATGAAGCCACTAGATGGCTCATTAAGTTTGCCTTTACTTACCCCCAATTAAGATTTCAGGTGTCTGTGGTTTTGAGCTAATTTCAGAGTGGCTGCCACCTGGGACATTCTCAAGAAACAGGATCAGCTCCTTTTGTAATGATATATCCCACTTAAAGCTCGAAGGCAGCGCTTCTATTACATGCAATCGTATTTTCCATATCTAGAGTTTCATGCCTGTTATTTTGGGGGGTTTATTTAGAAATCAATCCAACGTGTCAAGTTTTGATCCATGGCTTTTACAGAATCAAAGCTCCTGTTCACAGCTGACAGCTGAAATGCTATTAGGCATAATGTCCCCTCAGACTCCTCCACAAACAGTTCGTAAAAAGAGTTTTTTGAGCTCGGGTGCACTATAAAAAACAGATTCAGACATAACCATGAAATACAATTTTTGTATATGTAACAAGGGCACCCTAGAAAACTCCCTTTTGAAAAGCAGACATGTGGACCAGCACAGTGAAGTAACTGGGATCTACTTTATCTCTTCTTCAGAGTAGCGTAGCACAAAAGAGGAGAAAAAACCAAACCAAACCAAACCAAACACACTAGGCACAGGTCACAACTATCTCTCAAAAAGTGCACTGTAGAGAGATCTTCCACTCAGTCCTCCTACTAAGAGGAGGAGAACTGAATGGGCAGTCACCAGAAGGAAAGATTTTCATGGTAAATAATACTGAGGAAGGGAACAGAGAGCACAGGCTCCATTTTGAAATTATGTCAGGCAGAAAGGACACAGAGTTGTTATGATACAAGAGCTCTTGCTGGAGAAAGGACCCCAGCACACAGGACTTCAGCAACAGAGCATTACAGCAGGCTCAGAATATTTTCAGTGTGGCTTTTAGGTCTTCCATCTTATACTAGATGATGCTGCACCATACACAGATCTGTTTATCATGATATGGCATGAGGACATCATGACAGAAACAGTGTGCAAAGAATGCAGCTTTTGTTGATTTGCAAAGAAATAACTGAACTTGAAAAAGTTTCTTCCATAAAATCTTTCCAGCAACAACATGAATGCAGCACCTTAACCTGCTGCAATTATGGTATCAATATTGCATGTGAAAAAAGAAGTGTGGCCCATCACATGTTTTGATAACACTTATGAATGCTTATATTTAACTTGGACAAAATAAAATCATTCTAGATTAAACATCAGTCTCAAAAAAGCCACAGAGAGCGACTGTGTGTGTGTCTACACATATATACAATTCCAGCTCTGCAGTTACAGTTCTGCCACAGATGGAGTTCAGATTGTCAGTAGAAACAGGTTAAAGCAGAGGATGGTAACACTACATCTCACTCTACTTTCCCATTACGGCCTGGAGGCTTCTTCACTCAGATCCAGAAGGATGGACAAGGATCAAGCACATTTAGCTCAAATTTCTTTACTAGGCAGCGCAGGAAAACAACACTATTTAGGACCTACCTTGCCCATTTGGTACATGTTTATGCGTTTTTCCTTTCCTGGGGGTTGACTGGCATGATGATGAAGCATTGTTTGTGGCTGTTTTTGTGTCCTCTGTCTCCTCCTCCTCCTCCTCTTCATCCTCATCATCCTGAGAGCTTCCAAAATATACCATGTTGCTGGGCAGGGCTGGAGAACCTAATCATTATAAAGAAATGGCTCATTAGCATCATTACATTCACTTCCTGCACTAACCATATTGATCATAACCTACTTTAGAGTCATGCATAGCAAGAGAAGAGGGGGACTCAAGAGATGGAAGGTCACACTACTGCATGACTAACCAGAGGTTTTTTATTTATTAATTTTTACAAACAGGACTTGTATGTGTTTTAAAAGCAAGGTTCCCCTCCACGAGCACATTCTATTCATACTTTAGACAATCACAGAGTCTTGCTACAAGCCCTAATTAATAGCTTTGTGTATTCAGAAAAGGACTAATGCACATGCTTAATTTAAAATGCGTGCTTAAGTGCCTTACTGAAGTCTTAATGCACAAACTAGAAGCTTACAGCTTTTCCAAACACAAGCAAAAAAAGAGTATTTACAAACCAATCTGCACCCTGGTAATATTTTTAGGTTGTTATTATTAAAATAAAATATTAGTATTTAAACTTGACAATGCTTTGCAGACCTCTACAGTACTGTACACAATGCTTTGCGGTGTTCTGGTTCAGTTTTAAATAAAAGAGAAAAACTAAGACATTGAGATGCTTAAATTTGCCTAGCAGGTCCCTGGCAAAGGGGAGAAAGAGAGCAAAGGTCTCCCGATTCCCCACGGGCTCCTCTTGAGGATGCTGCTTCTCATCTCTCGCTCACTTCCCACGATGCTCCCGCTAACCTGCCTTGTTGGCACAAGGGTACAACGTGCAATTCAGTGAGAGGAAAGTGAGGAATTCACAAGCTTAACAACAACACAGGGTTGTCATTTAAATGTAACTCTTGCACAAAATTTCAGGTCATGCAATAGTGTATAGGTTTCCCTGCACTGCATCAGGGACACACGACATGTCTGTAGCCATCTAATAACTATTTTTAAATGTACAAATACTGCAGACAACTAATGGACACTTTTCCCTTCTGCCCAAGAGTAGTTTCCACTTTGAAATGAATGTTCTGTCTATCCCCTGGAGGGACAGGTGCCCTAGAAGCCTTCTACTTAGTCACAATTATTTTTTTTTTTTTTTTTTTTTTTTTTTTTTTTTTGTGGGTAGAGAAAGGGAAAAAATAGACAGTCAATAGAAGGGGAGAATGGGGGGACTCATCGTTTCAATTATTTTCCTGTAGCTAAATAAAACAAAGGACAGAGAGAGCTGGGCTACAGACCAATAACACAAGGTAGTGGCTATTTGGCTGAAGCTTCCTTAGGAAACACTCCTGCCTTCAAGCTCTTCAGAACAGCAATTCTGTGTTTTGTTTGGTTTTGAGCTGCTCTTGTTGCTATTGCCAGCAACTAACTAAAGCTTATTTTTGGGTTGTGTATTTTCTGCTTCCACCAGGTTTGTACAAAATACTCTTAACTAAAATAAAAATTACATTTTAATGAACCTATACCTAATTATGGCACAAAACCAGGACAGGCTGTTTCTGCAATGAACCAACCTTTCCTAAGAGTAGTGGTTTTGGCTGGGATGGAGTTAATTTTCCTCATAGCAGTTTGTATGGTGCCATGCTTTGGATTTGTGACCAAAACAGCACTGACAACCTAGGGATGTTGTAGCTATTACCGAGCTGTGCTTGCACAACATCAAGGCATTTTTTTTCCTGCTCCTCACATCACCCCACTGGTGAGTAAGCTGAGGGTGCACAAGAAGTTGGGAGGGGACACAGCTGGGACAGTGGAACCCAACTGACCAAAGGGATATATATCCCAGACCACATGACATTGTGCTCAGTAATAAAGGCTGGGGGGAGAAGGAGGAAGGGGGGGGTGACATTTGGAGTGATGGCATTTGTCTTCCCAAGTAACTGTTATGTGTGATGGAGCCCTGCTTTCCTGGAGATGGCTGAACACCTGCCCATGGGAAGCAGTGAATGAATTCCTTTGTCTTGCTTTGCTTGTGCTCGCAGCATTTGCCTCACCTATTACAGAATCACAGAATCACAGAATGTTGGGGATTGGAAGGGACCTCGAAAGATCATCCAGTCCAATCCCCCTGCCAGAGCAGGA